ATATATATATATATATATATATATATAGATCATTACATACCGTATTTACTCGTGTATAAGTACAATTTCTTGTACACAACTTCAATAAAAAATAAGGGGTGCTACTTTTACACGAGGCTAAGAAATCTTGTGCAAGAAATGTCACCATTAATTATCGCAACCAGCCGCTATTATAAATGCTGACCCACGCGAGCGCATATTGCATATAGGCACAGCCGCCTTGAATAAATTACCACACTTTTCAATGTATGAAAACTAAGCCCTGAAAAGTTATTCTAGGTCTGGTCTTTTGACCTTGCCGACTGGACTCACAATTATTATTAATAATATTAATTGATCAGTCAGGGATAACTGCTTCTTTACTCAGAGGACAATGACTTGTAATTAAGTGTGAACTCACTGTGTATCAAGTTTGCTGACTGCTATGATATCGTTCAGTATTGAACTGCTCATTGTTTACTTAATTTTGATTATAAAAGTTTTGTAACAACTTTTCAAGGCAAAATATGGGGGTGCGACTTATACACGAATGCGTCTTATACACGAGTAAATACGGTACATTAAAATTATGTAATATAAAGCCTCTAGAGGGTGAGTGTTAGATTGTTGTCTTTCATGTTGTTACAGGACAGCAGACCCGGGACAGGAGAGGAGACTCACGACAGGAAAGGAGCTCAGGACAGGATAAGAGACCCACGACAGGAGAGGAGCCCAGGACAGGACAGGATACTGAGGACAGGACAAGCAGCCCAGGACAAGAGAGGACAGGACAGGAGCACCAACTACCATTTATTGAGAAGCTGCATAACACTGCCACTCCTGAGTACTAGCGCATGCCAGCCCACTTATGTACGAGGTTTTCGTCAAGCTGACAGAAGTTGTAAGTGTGTAAATCATTGATGCTAGAACTGTTGTATAAATGCACATGTATACTATTGTTAACATCAAGTTGTCTAGCTACCGTGTGTACATCGTTACTCAAATGCAATGTCGTGTTTTTCATTGAGTTCGGTTTTTATACTTTAGCTATTCAGTAATCGAAATAGCTTAACAGATTTTTTAATGACAAATTCTGAACATATGTTACTCATGGCAGTGGCAGTGGCAGTTGATAAAAGTTTTTAATTGATTGACAAATGTCTTGACAAAGACTGGGCCTATCCACGGTAGCGAGCTCACCCCAGGTACTCGCCGGATCTTGTAAAACCAACATTTGCGGTCAAATAAATTCGCACCGTTGGTACTGTGAGCGGAATTCATAAAAATGTGTGACATATATTATATATATATAACATGGTGGCGTGGGCTGAGTGGGTCTCCCGTTCTCCTTCTTCGCAGTCTTTCCTTCCCCGGCTCTCCTTTCCCTTCATTCGTCTCTCTCTCTCCTCTTCCTGTTTGGCTCCTTTTCCCTAACCGCACTATCACCCTCTTATCCTCTGCTTGCTCGATCACATTCCCCTCCTCGTCTGCATGGTTATATGGTCGCGTGGTTGGTTTTTCGCTGTTCATTTATAAGGTAATTTATTTTTAACACTCAATCTGAAGGAACAGGCGTGGTAAGATACGCAGAACTCGCGCCATGCTTGTTGTTATGGCCGGCTAGTCACACCAACGCAGGCCCGTGGCCAGTTTCTCATTGGGGGGGGGGCGGTTCGCTTTTCAATGTTGGCAATTTTGCCTCGGGCAGGGGCCGGATGTACAGCGATTGTACAGGGGGGTCTAACCGTACCGCATAGTGGCGATGCACGCGAAGGCGGGGTCGGTCGGGGGCGCCCTCCCCAGACATTTTTATATAGTTACACCCCTCAAGATGCGTTTTCTGCGCGAGCAAGGGGGGGTCCGGACTCCCTGGACCCCCCTGTACAGCGCCCCTCGCTCGGGCGCGAACGCTACACAGGCGAGGGAGCCAAGCGACGAGCGGGGGGAGGGTGTGGAGAGGGGGAGGTTGTTCACTGTTCACCTCCCGCCACGATGGGAGATTTTTGCAAATTATTACACTAAATGGAGCGACCTGAAGGTGCAATTCTTGCCAATTTTTCAAAAAAAAAATTTTTGCTTGGGGGAGGGGCTCGCGGGGGGTTCGTTCGAACCCCCCGAACACCCCCCTCGGCTACGGGCCTGCCAACGTATGCAAGCGGCGCAGCGTATACCGACGTATGGAAAAATTTGGCTGAATGACGCTGGCTACGTCGAATAAGTTATGGGTAAGTTTGAATGTTAAGCTTAAGAGCACGCTGAAGCACGCTGGTATAGTCGTAGTATGGCGAGGTCGTCGAAAATTTGTGTGCATGCATAAAGTTTTGCGACGGTATGCCAGCGTATGCCCATACGGTCCCGCATACTCGGGCAGAAGTTGTAGGTAAGTTATGCGATCGTTGACACACGTTCACAACGTTACTTGTAAGTTACTCATAAGTCGAAATACATGCAGAGATAATGGTCTAGCTTACCAAAACTTATTTTCTAAACTCTATTAGTAACATTATATCGAACTTATCCTCAACGCATATTGACGTATGTAGACGTATTTGACGTGTTCCTGACGCCACAGAAACTTACAGAAATCGTGTATTCTAATTAGAGCTACCGTTAATATGCGTATTGCAGCGTTTAGGAAAATTGGTATATAAAAATGGTATTGGCATGTTTGATACTGCGACGGTGATTTGATACTGCGATGTCTTTATGCCGGTTATGATTTTGAATCGTCGAGCGGCAGCCTTTTTATAGGCTACGACACTGATCGTCGGTGATACGCTGCCGCGCGCTTGCAAAGGTAGACTATCGTTGGGCATAAGTTGTGAACGCCAGCAACACGCTAAGCATTCGTTGGATATAAGTTATCTTAAGTTATCGAACGTTCTATATAAGTTACTAATACGTTATGTATACGTCCAACTCGTTATGTATACGCTATGTATACGCCCAAAATAAAAATAAACATCGATAGTTCAGCGTATGCCAGCGTTTTAGAGAAATTTTGATACGTTCGGCATACGCTTGATTAACTCGTCAAAGTGTGACAGGGCCTTAGGGAGGAATTTAAAATCGCACGCCACAGGACGGTCCATTTGCCTGTCTTTCAAATAACTTTTTATAAAGCACATTTATCACTGAGCTGTATTTTAATTAAATAACAGTATTATTTATAGATCACATGCGCAAAGCGAGATGCTTTATCATTACACATATTAATTATGTTACCTGCAACGTGGCGTTGGTAGGCGATAACGGAGCATGGAAGGAAACCGTGCACAATCCACGGGAGCGCGGAGAAAGGGAGTAGGCCAGCGAACAAAGGACGTCACGTGCTACGAGATCTCGCGAGAAAGAGCAGTTTGGACGCTTCTCGCTACTCAAAAACGTAATACGCAATTCATAATACGTATATTGCCTCCGCTACGGGCGCCCCCAATATAGAAAACGACGTGCTTCTTTATATACATATATATTATATTGTATATCATATGTTATATGTATTATAAGCCGATATATATCCATATTTTGTGCCGTGGGTGAAAAAGTATGTGGCTGAAAAACGGCTATTTGCCTGCCATAAAGTTTTCCGTGCTAACGAGGTCGTAAGGTGATACCAATTTGGGAGAGGGTAGGATGGGAGCTAGGATAAACGGAAACAACACAGAGGTGTGACGAATATGATATAATATAATAATATATATAGAGA